TCCTTTGTCAAAGATGAGGTAGCTGAGTGCATCTGGAGTTGTTTTTGTGTCTTCCAATCTGTTCCACTGATCCTCAGGTCTGTTTCTTTGCCAGTACCATGCTGTTTTTATTCAGTGGCTTTGTAGTATAGTTTCAGATTGGGAAAGACTTAGTCTTTTTACCCAAATGTCCAAAGGTCCTTTTTCTTTTGGTGGCCAGTTGCTTTACTGGAGCATAGGGCAGTGCTGGTTTTTCTTGGTCAGTTTCCCTAGTTGATTAATGTTCTTTCACTCTAAATTTTGCCTTTATTGTATTTCTGAAAGTTTTCTTCAGTAATAGTTTTTCATACATCTTTGGTTGAACAGCTTTGTTTTTCTTCTTTGGGAATGCACGTTATTCATTTGCTGGCACTTTGTTGCCTGTGTATCTCTTACTTTGTTTTAAACACTTGAAAATTTTGTCTTCAGTCTTTGGAGTGCTTCTTATTTTTTCCTTCCATCTCTTTTTTTTCCCCCTTACTGTAGTAGTTGCAAGGCAGGCTGAAAGAGTGAACATGTGTTGGCTGCTTCAGGACAGAGTCAGGGCTGGGATGGGAAGCAGTGTTTGGTTAGCTGGACCAGCATGGGCTGTGCAGGCGAGACCTACCGGAAGGAAGGATCTCTCTGAAGTAAAATGTACAAGGTTATGCTTTGAATGACAAACAGGTCAGATAATCAGCAAATTCAGTTTCTGTGTAGTCCCTGGGAGACAGAGAAGAGCTTTGCTGAAGGTGTAGTGCTAAGCATTATTTTGATTATGGAGGAGGGGACTTAATATATTTTAGTGAGCATTTTATTTTATTTTTGAAGACAAAAAGAGAATTACATTTTATATTACTTTGGGGATTTTTAACATAGCTTTTTTTTTTTTTCCTGGTACCGGGGACCGAACTCGGGTCCTTGCGCTTCCGAAGCAGGCCACCAAACCCCTGAGCTAAATCCCCAGCCCTAGGGCATTTTAAGTAGTAGCTACCTCAATATTTTTTAATTTATTCTAGCATCTATATATCCACGTAAGATGAAAGAGGGTAGGATTAGCGAAAGCTGATAATTTTAATATTTATTATCACATTAGAACTTAGAGAATTAAAAATCTAAAGTGGTAAATTGCTTTTAATAGGGCTGTATACAAGTTCATCTGAAGTTTCTTACCATAGTTGGTTTAAAATTAGTGGTAATTAATTTAATAATGCAAAGGGTTTAAAAACAAAAAGTTCTTATTAGCTGATACTTTTATCACATGTAGGTGGATAGCCTGAAAAAGACTTTGAGTCTTTGAATTTTAAAAAATACTTTTCCATTAGGATAGTTTTATATGCTTATGTCATTGAAAATAGTTTTTTAAAGTACTGGGGTTTGAACCCCTGGGGCCTTCATACTCAGCTGTATTCCAAGCCTCTCTTTTTGTTTTGTTTTGTTTTCTTTGTTTGTTTTCAATTTTGAGACAGGGTCTCAAGTCTCTTAAGTTGCTTGGCTTGGGTTCAGGCTTGTGAGTCTCCTCTCTCAGCCTTCCAGAGTGCTGGGATTACAGGAATGGGCTAGCATGCCCAGCTGCTCATGGAAATTATCAATAGAAGTCATCCAAATAAATGATATGCTTTCTATTTTTCACTGGTATAATTTGAGATTTCATTTAAATTTCCTAAACAAATGGTTCTACTGTTTCAGGAGGTGTGGTAGATTGCTTTCAAAATAATTTTTTTTTTTTAAATGAGTTTTTACCTACGATACATTCACAGGGACAGACAAATTTTCATTCAACCAAGGTCCCTTGATTAAAAGGCTTTGACCTAGATAGGTATGTTTATAATTTTAAGTCTTTCTAGTTACTATAATTTGGCATATATTTTTTTAATTGGCAATTAAATGATATAAAGACATCAGAAAGAACATAATACTGAGCTGACTTATAAAATTTGCCAGTATATTGTATAGCTACATACTTTTTTTTTTTTTTCTTTGCGGTACTGGGGATCAAACTCAGGACCTTGCACTTGCAGGGTAGGTGTGGTGCCGCTGAGCTAAATCCCCATCCCTACTACATACATTTTTTTATAATGAAATTTTAAAGCTAACCTGAGAAGTGAGATTATAGAGTTACCATACTGAAGAAATTCGCCTTCTCTATCATAAATGTGCTTGAATCATTTTGCCTGGATTTTTTTGGTTTTGTAGTGAAAGTTTACATTTTATATTTAGCTTATCAAATTCTTATGCTAGAAATTAATTTCAGTGGTTACAAAAATAAACATTGTTCAGTTGTTAATGAGTGGAGATAATTACACATAATCTCAGAACTTTCCAAACAGTTAAATACTGTTTTCTGTTGTACCTTCTGTAAAGTCTTTATTGTAGTGAAGAACAGAATTGCATATATCTTAGTTTGACTACCTTAGGAAAGATGTGGTCATTCCTGAGTAGCACCGTAAGATTACCTTCCATTCCCTGTGATATTTAGCTATCTGTCCTCTCCAAGGTGTGTTACTCGGGTATTACATCCATTTCCGAAGTGTCTGTTAGCTTTGCAACACTGTTTTTTAGATTCATGGAACAAATTATTTCTTTATGTAGAAGAACATAGAAAAACTTGAGAGACTACAGGAATGAATTTATTCTGTGAATATTTATTGAGCATCTATTGTGTGCCAGGCCTTCTAATCACTGAGGGTAAAGTACTGAACTAAGCAAAATCCTTTACATCCTAGTAAACAGCTACATACTTTGTGGTGTACACCTTTGTAATAATAGTAAATTAATGAATAAATGCACCCTAAGTCAGGGTGTGATAAGGCAAAGAGCAATAATGCAGGAGAAGGTATAAGAGAGGAACACTGCGGTCGGTTCCATTTTATAGAAACATAATTTCATGCCATTTAAAGACTTTCAGCTCTGTAGGTCTCTGTCTCTTCCACCTCTTTGGAATGACCATTCAGCACACATTTAGACAACTATCAGCATCTCTTCTGTTGTGGTGATGAGCTGGCTGTGTGACAGCATTTTGCTGTTCACCTTAACTGGTCACGTCATGCTTACTGTGTCAGGTGAATGATAGATAAAAACCAAGACATTCTATGTAGTAGTTGTGAATGACACAGCCTTCCCACTCTATATATGCGGTGTAGAGAATTTAGATGGATTTGGAACTTGGTGTCATCTTAGTCCCCCAAAGGATGAAACTGTTGCATCTTAAGCCCTGTATTTCTGATGCAGCTCTTCAGAGCATAGATAGGTTAAAGTGTGCCACACTTGGCACAGAATCTTAACCTGACCATCCTTACCATGGAATCTCACCTCCCACTGAATTAAGATACTGAGCACCAACCTGTGCCTGTACCGTCTCCATCTCGAGACGTGAGTCTGCCTTTCTAAAAGGCCTTCCCTCTTTCTTCTTGACTTGTCCAGAATCGAACTGAAGGCAGGGCTCAAGTTATATGGCGTTTTCGAGACTTTTCTTGCTGGCCTATATAGCACAGGGACATAGCCCTTTGTTTGGTGTCTCCTGTGCCGTATAATTTTTGTGCATATATTTTATGTTTTCACTTCTGTCTAACCTCCTGGATTAGTAAATGAGCTTTTTAGAGCAGTACAGTACCTAATCTGTGTTCACACCACAGGGAGCCCAGTATTGGACATGAAAGTAGGCACTGAATAGCTGGTGCTGTCAGAAAAACTGCGTCACAGTCCATGGAAGGCTGCACCTCGTCAGGGTAGTCCCTGCTTCATTTCTTAGGTCCTTTTGCATGTTTGTATCCCAAAGCAAAGTCATCCATATGGAAGTTATCCATAATTTAAAAACATAGTTGACATCCATTTTGCTTGTTATATCCTTAATGTACAACAAACGTAATAGGTCATAATAGGCCAGCTCAGTACTGTTTCATTTGCATAGCTGGGCAAAGATGTATCAAACAAAACTACATTTAATCAAGTGCTGCAGTTCTTGTTAGCCTTAGAATATTATTAATTCACAGTAATAAAACTTATTTTGTGGTGTTGACGACGCTCGGATCTGTCATACTTTTGTATGCTATAAGATCTGGCTTTTGGGCTAATCTCTTGCCTTTCATAGCTATTAGGTTACATTTAAAAAGAAAAGAAACTTTATTATTTTTTCTTGAAAGTAGATGTGATGGTGGTAAATTGACCAAATATAACTTTTAATTCTGATTTGTGGTGGCAGGTGTTCACTTTACAGTTACTTTTAAGTTGCTTGGCTCTTGTTAAACAGAAGGCCTGCTCACACTTCTAGCCTGTCTGCTGTAGTGCACAAACATTCCTTCCCTAGCCCTATACTTATATAATTTGGCTTATTTCTTTTTTTTTTTTTTTTTTTTTTTTTTTTTTTTTTTTTTTTTTTTTTTCTGATACCGGGGATTGAACTTGGATCCTTGTTCTTGTGAGGCAGGAGGTGGAACCACTGAGTTAAATCAGTATGGCTTATTTCCAAGCATGGATAGGGTATGCTGCTTTCAGTTTAAATATTTCTTACTATAGTTTTATAGAAAGACTTGACATTTTTCTTTTCTTTTTAAATTATTCTTGACACACTGCCCCCTCTTATCCTTACCTTGTGTTTAAGGGGCCCTAGAGATTACATTGAGGTGATAGTCCACTGGGGAAGGGACATGTTACTGATCAGTGTGGACACCAGAATTATCTCATTAAATTGTGTACCCTATAGGTTTTGTCAGTGCTTTCTAGATCTTGTAATTTAACATCATTTAGTGAGGAATGCAAAACAGTAAATAAATCTCAAAGTTTACTGGCTTTTAGGAGACCAAACTATATATATATACATATATATATGTATATATATATAGTTTTTTATAGTTTTTTAAAAAACTATTACCAACTCATATTTTGTAATGAGATCAGAAATCCCTACAAATTTGGTATGGGAGGTGCATTTTTTTATATGAAGTGTAACTTAGGGTAGAATCTTATAGGTATCATCTTAGCTTTTATTTGACTTTCTCTCACAGTTGGTGTATGATTTCTTCTTGAGATTTTTGGAGAGTCCTGATTTCCAGCCTAGTATTGCAAAGCGATACATTGATCAGAAATTTGTACAACAGGTAAGGAACTCTTACATCTTAAATTTTCTTGAATTCATCTTATCAGTGATTTAAACTTGTGGTTAAAATAGTGTTTCAAAACTTAAGTGGTTTATTTCAGTGTGATAGCACTTAATATTCTTGCCAGACAATTAGTATAAAAGTGTGAAGTAGCTTTGACAATACAAAAGTATTTTTATCAAAAGTGAGCTAATACTGAAGTACACTGAATTATCCTGTTGAGTCCTGAATTCTCATGAAGACCAGAATAGCTAGTCTTCCTTTCTTTTCCTTCCTTTCTTTCTGAGAAAATTTAGTATAACCATGCAACCTCAGAACAAAGCTTGTTTTAAATTTTAAAATCTTTGAACTTGAATTTGACATGTTTCAAACATTAGAACTTTGAACTGACAGAGTGGGATGAAAAAAGAAATCATTGTCAAGAGTTTGGGCTTTAGTCTCCTTTCCTGCTATAAAGCATCAGTTACCTTTCCTGTTCCTTTTCCCTATCACCTTAAGCATCCTGGCTACCTCAGTTCTTAACCACCTATAAAATAGAAGAAAAAGAGATACAGATAAAAACATGGAATACCTTCTTTCTTTACATAAGCTGGTTATATTAGCTCTTATTTTTGGAACCTACATACTCACAATTTTTCAAAATTTAGAGGCCTATTTTTAAATGCTTGGAATAGGCTGGCACTAAACAAAATGGTGAAGCAGACTAAACCTTTCTAGATACATTTTTATCTTTTGATGTTCTACTGGTATGGAGGACCTCATTGAGATTTTGATCCTGAATCCGGGATTAAAATCATTACAAGGACCTGTTCTACCTTTTAGACCACCTTTGAGTGCTTCCTGTGATAAAGATTCCACAAGCAAGAGTTTCATATATTTAGAGCTCACTTTTGGTCATTTGTAACTACTCCTGACCTTTGTGATTAGTTGCTGTGGAGTACTGATAAATGAAGAATATCCTTAGTTTTACAGAATCATTAGATGTATGTTAACAGTAGAATGTACATTTCAGTGAAGAATAAAAATCAGAGTAAATGGAGTTGTGTTACTTAGGTAATTACAAGTGAATGCTTATTTCCTTCTGTAGTTCTCATGAGGAATATATCAAGGAACTCCAGTTGTGCCACATTACACTGTATTTCAGATAACAGCAGGTTGGGGGAACCTTTAGTGCTTTTTCAGTCTGCAGCTTGAGGTTCTTAGGCTACTGGATTTTTCTGTGGAGTTGGGGGAGTAAGAAAACTGGTAGAGCGGGATGCATTTTCTACCTTCTATTTCAAATTCCTGAATTTTCTGTGAAGGTAAGGCCCAGTAATTTGATTTTGGCAGTTTATATGACTGAGTTCATAGATCACTTCTCTGGGGTCTTCTTAGGGTACTGCTCTAATAGTTTATGTATGAGAATTCTCAGCTTATTACAATTATATTTTGAAATGACTTAGGTGTTAAGTTTTAAAATGTAAAACAAGAGAAAACTATTAAATTTTAAAACTAGACAGTTGTAATAATATATGTTCAGATCAGAGAATTGTATGAAAAAGAGGGAAACTAAAGTTTATTGAGTGTTTTTTATGTGCCATCCACTGCCCTGGAATGGGCTTTTATATAAAGAGCTAGACTATGTCCTATTTCACACAGCTAGCAGGTGGCACAATCAGGATTTGAACTAGACTCTTGACCATGATGGTATCTTCTGTTCAACCTTTCTCATTTTATTTTAGAAGAAACGAAGGCTCAGAGTTTATGAGTTACCCTTAAAATCAGTTTCACAATAGTATCAGAGCCAGAATAATTGGTTTCTTGACTACTAGTTTTGTGTTTTTATCACAAATACTATATTTCTAAATAGATTAGTATTTATTTAAGTTTTTAAAAGACTTCTGTTAAACACACTTGAAACTTAGCTAACAGTTGTTCTCTCTT